CGACATGTGAGTGCGGAGAAGAGCACACCACTGACCACCTGCTGCAATGCAGCCTGAGCCCTGCCACATGCACAATGGAGGACCTTCTTGCAGCAACACCAGAAGCACTCCAAGTGGCCAGATACTGGTCAAAGGACATTTAATCAACTACCAAACTCGTAAATTTTGTCTTTTGTTTGTTTGTTTGTTTTGTTCTGTTAGAAATGTAATACAATTGACTGGTTGCCCTGACACGATAAATAAATAACCAGAGGCACTCCAAGTGGCCAGCTACTGGCCAAAGGACATTTAATAGAATGCCAAGTTTGCAAACTTTGTGTTTTTGTTTTTTTAAAAAAAATGCAAAACAAGTGTTTGCTTCTCTCCTGATACGATAAATAAATGAATAAATCCACAGCTACTCAGTGGAATATCTCAAAAACTTCCACGGATGGACCAGTCTGAATTCTTACAAACGCGCTTCCCTCTGTTTCCTCCGCACTCCGTTCTCTCCGACAGCATCGCCGCTTGACCCACCAAAGCGCAACGTGGGCCAATTTTCAGGCCAGGCCACCCGCTGCCCGCTCCTTATTCAACACACTCCCTATGGTTTACTGACAGCTTATCCAGCAAAAGATCCTTTTTGCTCCCTGTTAGCAGGCGATTATTGGAGAGAAAGAAGCGTTTTCCACTTCATCGGGCACACAATCTCTTTTCTGGAACTTCAGATGGGCGGACAAATCGCTTCCGTTTCCCTCAAACGCCGCATCTCCGAGTTCCTCCTGCGTCGGGACGACGATGCTACCGACGAAGACAAATTCAATCCTTCACGCCCCGCCGAACTAATCCTGCCCGTAATCGCCCCGCCGAGAGTTTTGGCCCATGGATTTGGAAGACGATGCCGCCGGGGAAGCTGGCATTAGCATTGCTCATTATGACTAACGCCTTTCCGGCGTTTGACGCTGCTTTATTATTTCCGATTATTTATTAGATTCCTTAAGTATCTGGCAGACAAAGCCTCCTTAGGCACCGTTGCAGATAAAGACACAATGAAGTCTGCAAAGGATTAGGAGCCAGCGCAGATAAGAAGTCTGACAGGCACACGCCTAGTACGCCACTACAACATGGAACGCAGTTGGTAAAAGCCGAGGCGGGCAACGGGAAGAGCGGCGAAAAACTAAAACACAAGCAGTAAGAGCAGATTTTCCAAGGAGAAAGAGAACAGAAAGGTTGTAGCTTAGCACCAAGGAGATAATAGCGTAGGTGTATGGAGCGTATGGCAGAGCGTATGGAACGTATGTTGAACTGCTCGTACTGTCAGGAGGTTCTTCCTAATGTTTAGGTGGAATCTCTTTCCCTGCAATTTGAATCCATGGCTCCATTGCATCCTAGTCTCCAGAGCAGCAGAAAACAAGCCTTGCCCTCTCCTCCGTGTGACAGTCATTCAAATGATCAAGGGTCTGGAGAACAAGCCCTATGAGGACCGGCTTAAGGAGCACTTCAGGCATGTTCAGCCTGAAGAAGAGAAGGCTGAGAGGAGATATGATAGCCATGTATAAATATGTAAGAGGAAGCCACAGGGAGGAGGGAGCAAGCTTGTTTTCTGCTTCCCTGGAGACTAGGACGCGGAACAATGGCTTCAAACTACAGAAAAGGAGATTCCACCTCAACATGAGGAAGAAATTCCTAACTGTAAGAGCTGTTCAGCAGTGGAACTCTCTGCCCTGGAGTGTGGTGAAGGCTCCTTCCCTTGGAAGCTTTTAAACAGAGACTGGATGGCCATCTGTCAGGGGTGATTTGAATGCAATATTCCTGCTTCTTGGCAGAATGGGGTTGGACTGGATGGCCCATGAGGTCTCTTCCAACTCTTTGATCCTATGATTCTATGATTTATAACACAGCTATCATGTCGCCTCTCAGCCTCCCTTTCTCAAAGTTAAACAAGCCCAGCTCCCTAAGATGCTCTTTACAGAGCTTGGTTTCCAAAACCTAGATCATTTTGGCCGCCCTTCTCTAGACAAGTTCTACGTTGTCCGTCTTCTCCTTGAACTGTGTTGTCCAGAACTTGACACACCAAGTGTGGTCTGAACAAAGCAGAAAAGAGGGGGACTATGACTTTCCTCCATTTATTTCATTCATTCATTTACTGGGGGGGATGGGGGATGGGGGGGACGACTCAGAGCGGTTTACAACATGTACAATCTATATAAATAAAAATGTAATGTTCATTTGTGGGATTAACATAACGCAAAAAACACTGGACAATTTGACACCAAATTTGGACACAATATACATATCAGACCAATGAGTGATGATCACTCATAAAAACACTGGAAAACACAGCAGAAGAGACTTCAAAAGCCAAAAAAATAAAAATTATATTACAACGCATGCGGAAAACCACATATATACAGGGGTATTTTTTAAGTAAGGTCTGTTTTGTTGTAGACACTAGTAGTTCGTGCGCATACCGCAACGAGCGTGTGCGTCATGTACCGGCATGCCTCGGGAACAACTGTGCTCAGTTTCCGCTCTGTAGCCAACCTGTACGGTTCTGTTCTGTGCTTTAAAAATGTTTAAGACTATCAACTCACCCTCCGCATGTGAGGTTCGCTCAGTGATATTGTTTTCAGGTTCTTGTGGGTTTTTTTGGGCTATAGGGCCATGTTCTAGAGGCATTTCTCCTGACGTTTCGCCTACATCTATGGCAAGCATCCTCAGAGGTTGTGAGGTCTGTTGGAATTAGGACAATGGGTTTATGTATCTGTGGAATGGCTGGGGCGGGGCAAAGAGCTTTTCTCTGCTAGAGCTAGGTGTGAATGTTTCAACTGACCACCTTCATTAGCATTTGAAGGCCTGGCTGGCTGGTTTTTGTCAGGAAGGAACCTGCCTGCTGCAGAAATTCATCGACAGATTTGTGAAGTGTGCGGTGAGACTGTTATGAGTGAAAGCAAAGTGCGTAAGTGGGTACGACAATTCAAAGATGGCCGTGACAACGTCCATGATGAGGACTGCTCCGGTCGCCCTTCTTTGATTACAGACAATTTGATTTGATCGCACACTCAAATCTTTGGTTTTTGTGGTCCTCTGTTAGGAGTTTCGGGACCCAACGGGAGCACAGTTTCCTAAACTTTAGGTGTTCAGAAACAATGTTGTAAAGCACTGATCTCGACACGTCAGGAAATTCGTTTGAGAGACCTGTTATTGTGAAGCGCCTGTTCTCACGAATCCTTGCTTCAACGGAAGCCACCAAATCGTCTGTAATTATATTGTACTAGCTGTGCCCTGCCACGCGTTGCTGTGGCCTTTAGTAAGAGTTTTGAAGTCTCTGCCTGGCCTCTCTTCCTTCCTTCCCTCGCTCTCTTTCCCTCTTTCTCTCTCTCCTCTCTCTGGCATCCCTCCTTCCTCCCCCTTCTTTATGCTTGTGTGTAAACTTGAGTATTTTCTGTTGGTCATGGGGGTTCAGTGTGGCATGTTTGCCCCAATTCTGTCGTTGGTGGGGTTCAGGATGCTCTTTGAGTGTTGGTGAACTCTGAATCCCAGTGACTACAACTCCCAAATGTCAAGGTCTATTTCCCTCAAACTCCATCTGTGTTCATATTTGGGCGTATTGAATGCTTATGCCAAGTTTGGATCCATCATTGTTTGAGTCCACAGTGCTGTCTGGATGTTGGTGAACTACAACTCCCATACTCAAGGTCACGGAGGGAAGGGGTGGGGCGAAGGGAGGGGGCGTGTCTTTCCGGAGGGGGAGGGAGGAGGGAAGGAGTGAGTCAGGGAGGGAAGGGGGGGGAAGAAGGGAGGGGGGACTTTGAAGACACGCCCCCTCCCTTCGCCCCACCCCTTCCCTCCGTGACTCACTCCTTCCCTCCTCCCTCCCTCTCCGGTTAGACACGCCCCCTCCCTTCGCCCCACCCCTTTCCTTCCAGGAGTCAATCAGGGAGGGAAGGGGTGGGGCGAAGGGAGGGGGCGTGTCTTTCCGGAGGGGGGGAGGAGGGAAGGAGTAAGTCAGAGGGAAGGGGTGGGGCGAAGGGAGCGGGCGTGTGTTTAAGGGAGGGGGCGACTTTGAAGACACGCCCCCTCCCTTCGCCCCACCCCTCCCCTCCCTCCCCCCACCCCCTTCCAGGAGTGAATCAGGGAGGGAAGGGGTGGGGCGAAGGGAGGGGGCGTGTCTTTCCGGTGGGGATGCGGCGCGGCGAGGCTTGGAGTGTGCGGAGCGGGGCTTGGAGGCAGCGTGGGAGGAGTAAGATGAAGGAGGGGGTGGAGGGAAGGGGGCGGGGGGAAGTTGCGTTGTTTGTGTGTGTGTGTGTGTGTGCTGGGCGGGGCGGGGCGAGGGAGGGAGGGAAGTGCGGAGGGTGCGTTGGCCATTCGGCCATGTGTGTGCGCGCGCTGGGGACTTTGCGCCAGTGCGCATGCTCAGTTGTTTTGCCGTTTTTTCTGTGTGTGGTTGTGTTGTTTTCAATTTTGAATGGATTAGTTTGTACCGAGTGGGTTGTCCTTGGGGCATGGCAATTTTGGTGCAGTTTCGTTGGGGGGTTGTGGAGTTTTGCTGTCCCGTTGAACCAACCTAACAGATTTATATATATAGATTATTACTAGTAGTATTATATTTTATTACATTATAATATTATGATCAATATTATGTGTACATACAATATATAATATTATTAGAATAGCACAATATTAATATATCATGTCCATCTAGACATTATACTCCTATGGATGCAGCCTAGAACCGCATTGGCCTTTTAAGCTGCTTCATCACACTGTTGACTCTTATGGCTGACTAAGACTCCTAGGTCTCCTTCACATGGACTGTTTCCAAGCCAGGTGTCACCCACCTGATATCTGTGCATTTCACGTTTATTGTCAGGTTCTGAAATTCCTGCATTGCTGAGAGGATAGATTAGATCTAAACTGGCCAGGCTAAACTAAGGACGTTCATTCTGAAATTCCACTGTGAATTTAGTAAATATTTTAAAGCCACCTAAGCCAGTTACCTTTCTTCTGCAAAACCTCACCTGTTAGTATCTCTGGCCACATCCTCGTAGACGCTCTGCACCCCAATCTCCAGCCGTGTGCATCCGTACGACAACATGTCACTCAGGTGGCGCTTCAAGCAATAATCTGGCCTGGTCTCTATCGTAATCCCAATGCATTTTGTAAGGCTTCGCTCGGAGTACCTACAGACAGAAGGGGAAAAAGAGAGAATCACAGATGGATTCAATTGTACTTTGATTGTGCTTTTTCTGCATGGCAGGAGGTTGATCTAGAGCAGTGTTTCTCAACCTGGGGGTCGAGACCCCTGAGGGGGTCGCGAGGGGGCCTCAGGAGGGTCACCAAAGACCATCAGAAAACATAGTATTTTCCTTTGATTATGGGAGTTCTGTGTGGGAAATTTGGCCCGATTCTATCGTTGGTGAGGTTCAGAATGTTCTTTGATTGTAGGTGGACTATATATCCCAGAAACTGCAACTTCCAAATGTCAAGGTCTATTTTCCCCAAACTCCATCAGTGTTCACATTTGGGCATATTGAGTCTCTGTGCCAAGTTTGGTCCTGATCAATCATTGTTTGAGTCCACAGTGCTCTCTGGATGTAGCTGAACTGCAGCTCCCAAACTCAAGGTCAATGCCCACCAAACCCTTGCAGTGTTTTCTGTTGGTCATGGGAGTTCTGTGTGCCAAGTTTGGTTGAATTCCATCATTGGTGGAGTTCAGAATGCTCTCTGATTGTAGGTGAACTATAAATCCCAGCAACTGCAACTCCCAAATGACAAAATCAAACCCCCTGCATTGCCACCAGCTTCCAAATCTGGACGTTTTGAATATTTGTGCCACATTTGGTCCAGTGAATGAAAATACCGCCTGCATGTCAGATATTTATATTATGATTTATAGCAGTAGCAAAATGACATGAATTAGCAATGAAAATAATGTTATAGTTGGGGGCCACCACAACATGAGGAACTAGATTAAGGGGTCGTAGCATTAGGAAGGTTAAGAAACACTGATCTAGATGGTCCATAGAGTCTCTTCCAACTCTATTATTCTACGATGCCAATTCTTCAGAGATAGTTAATTGGCACAGTTCATGGTCAGATCCAGGCAAAGGACTTAAAGGATAGACCCACTACAAACCTTGTTACAACAGTTGGGTTCAGAGCACACTTTGGCCTAGAAGAGACACAGCTCAAGGCATTCAAAGACATGCTCAGTTTACTAGTAGAACGACATAGCTTGGTCTTATAGTTTAATGTTTTCATTACCATGTATATATTATAACTACATAAGGCTATTATTATTTATTTACAGTATTTATATTGCATCCTTATTTACTGTAATTATATTCTGCCCTTCTCACCCCGAAGGGGACTCAGGGCAGACCACAGAACGCATATACGGCAAACATTCAATGCCATTCAACAGACAGGACAGACAACAGATAGATTTGTTGTTGTTGTTCATTCGTTCAGTCGTTTCCAACTCTTCATGACTTCATGGACCAGTCCACGCCAGAGCTCCCTGTCAGCTGTCACCACCCCCAGCTTCTTCAAGGTCAATCCAGTCACTTCAAGGGTGCCATCCATCCATCTTGCCCTTCCTTTTTCCTTCCATTTTCCCTAGCATAATTGTCTTCTCTAAGCTTTCCTTTCTTCTCATGATGTGGCCAAAGTACTTCATCTTGGCCTCTACTATTCTTCCCTCCAATGAGCAGTTAGGCTTTATTTGAACATTGAAAAAACCAAGGTGCTTTTCCAGCAGACACCAGCCAACCCCTCTCCAATGCCAATGATACAGCTTAATGGTGTAACATTAGAAAATGTTGATCATTTAGGCTACCTTGGCAGACACCTCTCCACCAAAGTCAACATCGACACCGAAGTGCAGCACTGCCTGAGCTCTGCAAGCGCAGCATTTTTCCAAATGAGGCGGAGAATGTTTGAGGACTGGGACACCCGTAGGGATACCAAGGTGCTTGTTTATAGAGCTATTGTCCTCCCAATCCTGCTATATGCCTGTGAGACGTGGACTGTCTACAGACATCACATGCAAATCCTGGAATGATTCCATCAGCTCTGCCTCCGGAAAATCCTGCAAATCTCCTGGGAAGACAAGCGGACAAACGTCAGTGTGCTGGAAGAAGCAAAGACCACCAGCATTGAAGCGATGGTCATCCGCCATCAACTCCGCTGGACTGGCCACATAGTCCGGATGCCTGACCACCGTCTCCCAAAGCAGTTGCTCTACTCCAAACTCAAGAACGGAAAACGGAATGTTGGTGGACAGGAAAAGAGATTTAAGCCAACCTTAAAAACTGTGGCATAGACACTGAGAACTGGGAAGCCCTGGCCCTTGACCGCTCCAGCTGGAGGTCAGCTGTGACCAGCGGTGCTGCAGAATTTGATGAGGCACAAATGGAGGGCGAAAGGGAGAAGCGTGCCAAGAGGAAGGCGTGTCAAGTCAACCCCGACCTGGACCGCCTTCCACCTGGAACCCAATGCCCTCACTGCGGAAGAAGATGCAGAGCAAGAATAGGGCTCCACAGCCACATACGGACCCACAAGAACACTGGAAGACAATCATCCTCGGAAAACGAGGGATCGCCTAAATAAAGTAAAGTAAGTAAGGCTTTATTTCTTGAAGTATGGACTGGTTGGATCTTCTCACTGTCCAGAGCACTCTCAGAACTTTTTTTAGAGGTACTGTGTTGGCATTTTTTTCCCAACTTCGGCATCCTGGAGGTTGTGCTCAATTCCAGCCACAGGGGGGTGCTGTCACTCCATTCTCAATGACGAAGAGCTCTTGATCACAGACTTCCTCCTTTTCATTGTCAGCATTTTCTGGTATTTCTTTTATGGTGCCATAAAATACCTCCCCGCTTAAGCGACGCCTAATTTCTCTACTCACTGCTTACAACTGTTTTCGAACTTCTTAGGTAGACAGTAAGCTGGGCTGAAGGTCAGGTGCTCATCCCGACCCAGGCTTCGAACTGCCAATGTTTCGATTCGTAAGATGTGTGCTCCATGCAGTCAAGCTGGCCACATGACCTTGGAGGTGCCTACGGACAACGGCAGCTCTTCGGCTTAGAAATGGAGATGAGCACTGCGAAGCCGTGACTCCCACCGCTTGTTACTAAAAATTTAAAACCGTTCA